TACGAATAAAACAAGACAGCTCCAATGCCCACGAAGGATCTTATCATTGCTATAATTATCAGAAATTTTACTGGCGTGAAACTGACTCGAATGCTCAATGCTTAAGTCAACAAAAAAATCACAAGCACAGTTCACAAGCATTCCCACAGTTTCATGTGTAGAATCGAAGCCCCAATAAAAAACATAGGTTGTAAATTTTCAAGTGACTGCTTTTTCGCTGACCTGAGAAATTCTCTCTTAAATCTTTACTCACAACTCTCGAAAGATTTTTCAGCATAATACTGAAATATCTGAGGTTCGAAAATGTAGATAGACCTTCAATCACTATTTCGTATCATTTCAAGGACTCTGACAGGTTGTCGTGCCGTGGTAAAGAAAAAGTAGGCTCCCGACTAAGAAGTTGCTCTTAATCCAGGTTCGAAGCGCTACTTACGTATAAATTGTAAACATAAGTAAATGTTGAGAGTTTGATATTGATCCAGTAAGCTGCTTTTATCAATCAACGCGCTATTCTTCTCATTTATCGTTCAATTCTTCTTTTGTTACATTACAAGGCCGATGGTCTTTGAAAGTCAGAAGATTCATTGGCCTAGTATTGCGATTTTGAGCTTTGAAACATTATTCCACCCTATGCGGACCATATGCGTAAAGTTTTTTACACCGTTTTATTCACACCGTATTGAAAGGACTTTCAAAAACGCACGTGTTGCACAGACATCTTTGATTAATTAAGAATTTTACACAACATTACTCCGGTAAGCTGAATGATCAATGAATGACTTGCAGCTATTATCGATGATAAATTTAGTGGAGATTAAAGAACGATCTCGATTTAAAGAAGAATTCTTGAGAAGAATTAACTATGTTCAATAATGTGAGACGCGTTTTCTCTCTTTAGGTCGCAGAACGCACTATTTCCGTACAATGCCGGCTTCCTCTATGTAATAAATAACGGACGTGGCAAGAAAACAACTTACGCAAACGCAAAACGATCGACGTGTAGATTTCTTAAACATCCCACTCTTTCTGTATGATACGGTCACACCCAATCAAATCATGGTGGACCCAATAGAGCGTATAGCAACAGTCTTTCCGGTTGATCGATCCGCGTTGACTGAAGGTGTCAAAAGACAACGACGTCGTTCGATTATCCGCGAGTTCGGCCTCACTACTTCGACTCATGGCTTGCCCGGCATTGCACGGAGTCAAAGTGTACACAATCGAATCTTTTGGTCAGTTGCAACTCTTATCTTTACCGGTGTCATGCTTTATTTCGTTATTCAGTCAATTCGGGCTTACTTCGAATATCCTACAGAAATGTCAGTCACAGCTAAAATCGAATACCCACAATACTTTCCGGCATTCACGATTTGCAACTATTCACCGTTGCGATACGATCGTTTTATTGGACCATTTTTGAACTACACAAATGGGCTCAATATTACAAACACAACCGACACAAGTTCGCTCTCACCACTTCAATTCCAGTATATTGGTGACTTTTTACGCATGAAGATTAATAAAGACGAGCAAGTGGATGATTTGCTATATTCGTTAAGTTCAATGTTGATCAGTTGTGTCTATAATGGTGTGGATTGTTTGAGAACCGACTTCACTTCGTTTCTCTCGCCTAAATCGGGACTTTGCCATACATTTAACGCCAAAAAACGGAATGGAAGTTATGGTGATCTACACTTAACCAGTGAAAACTCCAGCGAGGGCAGACTTTCATTGCATCTGTACATTCATAGTCATCAGTATGTGCCTTACATGTCATTCGGTAAGTATTCACTGGTTTGACTGAAAACCATCTATCTTCTACGTAAAATTGTGTAGGCACTGGTATGGTGGCTATCATACATGATAATACACAACTGCCACTGATCGATCTGGCTGGTTTCGAATTGAGTCCAGGTCGGAAACACAAATTGGGTTTTACCAAAAAGAAAAGGAGTTTTCAACCTTCACCTTATACAAATTGTACCGATGACATTTCTCTCGGTATGCAAGCCATGTTTGATCGATTTCAAGGTGCTGATTATGTGTATTCACAATATATTTGTAAAACTGTTTGTCAACAAGTGTATAAGTAAGTATGTCATTGCATTTAGATAATTTCTCATGTAATTCTCAACTTAGTTATCAAGAATGCGGCTGTATTGACCCTTTACAATGGGCGGCTCGGTCGATTATTTTGCCTGGCACGAACACAATCATTCTGGCACCACTTTGTGATTCATCGAACACTTGTTATCTGCAAGCAATGCAAACGCTTATAAATTCAGATTCACTTTGGCAAAAGTACTGTTCACATTGTACACAAGAATGCTCAATAGTCGACTTCATCGTGAAACCATCTTCAGTTGCAGCACCACCCGAGTGGTTCATGGATGATATCAAAATGTTCGTCGAAAATTCAGGGGTTCCTGTGCCGACAAATTGGTCTACGACATGGCGTACAGAAATTCTAGCCAATTATCTAGGAGTTGATATTCTCTCGGAATCTTATCAAATTGAAAGTTTTGAACAAGAAGCGACACTCGATGCGGTTCAGGTGATCTCAAATGTTGGTGGCCATACGGGTCTGTGGATCGGCATCAGTTTTCTCTCGTTGATGGAACTTGTTGAAATGCTCTATCGACTTGCTCGCTACCATTTACACCTTATTCGAGTGCCTGTGCGAAATAACTGACGATCATTTATAATTAGGTATGCACCGGTATCGGTATACCGAATACCGAAAATACCGACTTTTTTTGACTTGGAATTTTTTCATTTAAAATGAGGTATTTTAGCATCCTGGACAAACAGAACGTATAAACAACACTCAGCTGTGTATTTTGAGCATGTTCAGATAGAAAGAAAAGAAAAACTTTGGCTTTAGAAAGCAAACAAAGCTCTTGTTTTCCGTCCCTGATTCATTCTGGGTGTTCAGGATGCTAAAACATCTCATTTGAAATGAAAAAATCCCAAAAATTTCTTAGTGAAAAAAGTCGGTATTTTCGGTATCCGTATTTCGGTATGAATACCGATACCGGTGCATATCTATTTATAATAACCAAGGAGGCCTAGCTACCTCTTCGATTTTCTGTTTGCACTGATGATTTTCGATTATATCTTATAATTTCTAGATGTGTTTGTTGTACTAAACTGTGCATATTAACTTGACCAGCTTCTATTTTATTCAACATTAAGATTAATGTCGTTCAGAAAAATCGTTCAATTCTGTAAGGAAAATATGTGTAATTGCTGGTAAGCAGTTCGCATTATTTAAATTACTTTGGGAAACGTTTTCTGTTTTGTACGTCAACATCTTCTAGCGTTTTTCGCCCGAAAAAACTGAAATCCTTTTTTCCTCTTTTTGTTTCAAAATTCTCTTTTTTTCGAACTGCGGCTCGTCTTTTCCCATCCTTTTTTCCAAACTGTCGGTGAGATAACAGGTATGCAACGATTCGGTTATTTCGGTTTTCGGTTAATAACCGAAACCGATGCATACCTATGTGATACCAGTAATATGATCTTGTGACAAAAAATGTTCTCCTAATTAACGGCTACCCACACATATATCATCAATCAAATCAGTTTGTTCCACGTTGTTTTATTTCTTGAATATCTCCGTCATCTTGACAGATAGCGACCTGCGGTTTCTCGTGTTGGATAGCGAAGACCTTTACGCATCTTTCCAAAAGCAAAAATGATTTTGAAAAAAATTCTGACTGGATCGCATTGGAACAGATTTATTCGACCGATTTCATCGCGCTAGAACAAGTTCGAGTGTAATTTTTCCCGATTCTAATCCACACGACTATTTGCATACGTTCCAACCAACTTTTTTACGTAGAAGATAGATGGTTTTCAGTCAAACCAGTGAATACTTACCGAATGACATGTAAGGCACATACTGATGACTATGAATGTACAGATGCAATGAAAGTCTGCCCTCGCTGG